AGTGCTCCTCGGAGGCCAGGATGGCCAAACTTCATCTCTCATACTTCGGACATATCGTCAGAAGGGATCAGTCGCTAGAGAAGGATATCATGTTTGGTAAGGTGGAGGGTCACAGAAAGAAGACCCCCAATGAGATGGATTGGCCAAGTGGCAGCATCAGTGGACTCAAGCGTCGCAACAGTAGTTGAGGTTGGCTCAGGATCAGGCAGTGTTTCATTCTGCTGTGCATAAGGTCGCTATGAGTCGATACCAACTCAATGGCACCTAACAACAATAACAAGACAAGAAAGAAAGTAAAGATGAAAATGGATATCAGAAGAGACTCTGAAACTTGGTTTCCAGTGTAAAGATGCTAAATCAAGAAATGAGGATGTTAAAGAGCTGAATAGAAAATTTTAAAAAGGAACTCAAGATTACAAAATCAAGTATTATCATGAAATATTCAAAGAGAACTGGAGTTAGAAAACCAAAAGGAAGAACATGCTCAGCATTTCTCAAGCTGAGGGAACTGAAGAAAAATTCCAAGTCTCAGTTTTACAATATGGATAAAACACTGAATGATGCAGAACGCATCAAATGAAGATGGAATGAATATAGAGTGTCCCTGTACCAAAAAAATATGGTCAATGTTCAACCATTTAAAGAGGTAGCTTATGATCAAGAGATAATAATACTGAAGTAAGAAGTCCAGGGTACACTGAAACCACTGGCAAAGAACAAGGCACCAGGAATTGATGGACTACAAATTAAAATCTTTGAACAAACGGATGCAGTACTGGAGGCACTCACATATCTATGCCAAGAAATTTGGAAGACAACTACTTGGCCTAACTGACTTGAAGAGATGTATATTTGGGCCCATTCCGATGAAAGGTGACTCAACAGAATGAGGAAATCATGGAACAGTATCATTAATATCGCATGCAAGTAAAACTTTTCTAAATACAAAAGGGTGCAATCATACATTGACTAAGAACTTCCAGAGTTTCAAGCTGGATTCAGAAGAGGACATGGAACAAGGGATATCACTGCTGACATCAGATAGATCTTGGCTGAAAGCAGAAAGATTTTTACTTGTGCTTTACTGACTATGCAAAGGCTTTTGACTGCATGGATCAAGACAAGCTAAAGGCAGTACTGTGGAGAATGAGTATTCAGGAACACTTAGTTGTGCTCATGAAAAACCTGTACATAGACCAAGAGGCAGTTGTTCGAACAAAGCAAGGGAACATCAAATGGTTTAAAATTTGGAAATTCTTTCACCATACTTATTCCATCTGTATGCTGAGCAAATAATCCAAGAAGCTGAATTATATGAAGAAAAACGTGGCATCGGGATTGTAGGAAGACTCATTAACAGCCTGCAATACGCTTGATGAAAGTGGAGAGGACTTAAAAAATGCTTACTGATGAAGATCAAAAGACCACAGCCTTCTGTATGGGTTGCACCTCAATGTACAGGAAACAAAAATCCTCAACACTGGTCCAATAGACAACATCCATATAAATGGAGAAAACGCTGAAGTTATCAAAGACTTCATTTTTCTTTGATCAACTATCAACACCCATGGAAGCAGCAGTCAAAAAATCAAAATTATGAAAATCTGCTTCACAATGCGTCTTTAAAGTGTTCATTCAGGAACAAAGATATCAGTTTCAGCGCTAAAGTGCATTTGATCCAAGCCATGGTATTTTCAAAAACTTCATATGCACATGAATGTTGGCCAGTGAATAAGGAAGACCATAGAAGAACTGATGCATGTGACTTATGATGTTAGAGGAGAATATTAAAATTTCCATGGGCTGCCAAAAGAACAAACCAATCTATGTTAGAAGTACAGCCAGAATGCTCCTTGGAAGCCAGAATGGCCAGACCTCATCTCTCATACTTTGAACATGTTATCAGGAGGGACCAGTCCCTGGAGAAGGATATCATGTTTGGTAAAGTGGAGGGTCAGAGAAAAAAGCAAGACCCCCGAGAAAGACTGCCACATTGGCAGCAACAATGGACTCAAACATAGCGATTGTGAGGTCGGTGCAGGACCAGGCAGCGTTTCCATCTGTTGTGTACAGGGTTGCTATGAATTAATATCAACTCAATGGCACCTAACAACACCAACAACCCAGCACATGAAGCCATATTCAGCCAGTTCAATAGATGAAATAAGTACGGCTTCAATTTTTACTGATCCACTTGTGTTTCTCGGTCATCCTGTTTGCTTTTCTAATTCACGTTCAGAACTAAATAAAAATAATTTTTGAAGCTTGAACCCAACAATAACCTAAACAATATCCCTTTAGTTCACAATAACGCAAATGCAAACTATAAAATTGGTTTCTTTGCTGAATTTTAGTATCTTTTCTGATTAAAATATAATTTTACTGAAGAAAAAAACAGAAAGGCAGAAAATAATATCTTATAACCCAGATACAAAACTATTTTTATAGATTCCATCAATCTTTTTTGCATGTATATGTTTATAAAATTTATATTTTGGCATACAAAATATTTCTTTTTAAAAATATTTTGTTTTCAATGAGAGTTTACACAATAAATTCAATTCCCATTTGTCCAACTCTTGGTATGGCACTGTAGGGTAAGCATTGGATTGCAAATCACAAAGTTGGTGGTTCAAACCCACCAGATGCTCTTTGGAAACCCTATACAGGCTTTAAGTTGGAGTGGACTCAAATGGCCTTTACAACAACATACAAGTTGTTTGGAGTCCTGGTGAGGCGCTATAGGATAAGCACTAGACTGCTAATCTAAGGTCATCAATTCAAATCCACCATCTGCTCCTTGGAAACCCTATACTTGGTTGCTCTG